ATATTCATTCCTTGAAGTAAATGTGACAACCAAGCTACTAATAAAAAATTATAAATCTATCTATTCCTTGAAGTGAATGTGACATCATTTAGTAATTGTGGTCATAATTACGAATCCATCCGTTCCTTGAAGTGAATGCAACATTATTTAATTATGATGGCCATAATAATTTACATTATCACTATTTTAATTATTATTTTACCACTAGAAGTGGATGGATAATTTTATCATTTGAATTTAAGAATAATTTTACCACTAGAAGTTGATAGATAATTTTACCATCAAAAGTGAATGGATGCGTTAACTCACTAAAAAATGGATAATCCACTAGAAATGGAGAATTCATCATATGTAGATCACCCACCAAAAGTGGATGTATACTTGTAACTTACCACAAATAGATGAATACTTTTAACGTATCAAAAGTAGATGGATACCTCAACCCACTAACCCGCTAGAAGTGGACAACCCATCAAGAAGTAGATGAATACTTGTAATCCATTAAAAGTGGATAAATAATAAAAAGAATAAAAAGAATATAGAAAACGTATTATTATTGATGTAGCATGAAAGATCATAGATCACGTACTTGTTGTATGTCTTAAATTTTATCAAGCATCACTGAAAGTTAAAACATCTTATGATAATTTTAATCATGGCCAAGTTGGTATAGCACATCAAGATATTTGTCCACCCTGAAAGAGGAACTGATTACATAATTGGTAATAGAAATATCTATTATTAATTTTTTTGTCTTGAAAAAAGAATTGATCATTCTATTTGTAATAGAAATATTTGATAATGAACTTAATAGTAATTGTTATATTTAGAATAATTATATTATGAAGATGTTTTAATATGTTTTCATTGTATTTAAATGATATGTTCTTGTTATGTGTTTTAATTCTATATTTAATAATCTTTTATGTTAACTTGTAAATTTCTTATTGTATATATTTTATTTTATTGAAGGAAATATAGATATTCATCTTGTTGGATCTAAGATCAATAATGTAAATATATGTCTAGTAGACATTGGTACAACACAAACTATATTTAAAGATGATAAATATTTTTCCTACTTGACAAAAAAAAATCAATTACAATTCAATATCTAGTAGTACAAGATTAATTGAAGGCTCTAGAAGAGCTAATATTTTACTACCTTAAAGAATAAAGTTTATAATGGAGGATGTATTATTTTCTATTAAGTCTCAAAAAAGTTTATTAAGTTTTAAAAATATTTGTCTGAATAGATATCATATTGAGACAATGCATGAAAGAGACATTTAATACCTCTATATTATATCTATTATCTCAAGTATAAAGTGTGTGTTGAAAAAAATTTGCTCGTTCTGTTCTTAGAATTAAACTGTACAAATATTAGAATAATTGAAACCTATAGTAAACTAGAAGTTTACTAATGATTTTAATGTTTGGCATGATCAGTTGGATCATCCCGGATCAATAATAATGCAAACAATGATTGAAAATTTATCATTCACTGAAAAATCAGAAGATTTTTCAATCTAATGAATTTTATGTGCTGCTTGCTCTGAAGATAAATAAATTATAAGGCTATCAGTAGTTAAAGTTGAGACTGAATTTTCTATGTTTTTAAAAAATATTCAAGGTTATATGTGGATTTATATATCCACCATATGAACCATTTATATATTTTACGGTTTTCATCGACGCATCGACTAGATGGTCACATGTATGCTTATTATCAGCTTGCAATTTGGCATTTGCAACCATTCATTTGCAAGCACATTTTCTTAGTTATATAATCAAGATTATTTGTCTTGACAATGCTAATGGATTTACATTTCAAGCCTTTAATATTGCATATTAGTTAGAATAACTATTGAATAGCCTGTTGCTTATGTTGATACATAAATTGGTCTTGCAGAATTATTTATTAGACACTTCTAACTAATTGCAAGCTTATGAAATTCAAATTCCCAATGTCTATTTAGAGGCATGCTATTTTGGATGTAGCAACATTTGTATACATCAAGTCAAATGAGTTATTATAAATCTCTCTATGCAATTGGTTTATGGTTAAGAACGAAATATTTCCTATATAAGAATTTTTAAATGTACGGTATATGTTTCAATTGCTCCACCACAACATATAAAGATGGGTCCTCAAAGGAGGTTGTGAATATATGTTGGATACAAATGTCCATTTGTAATTAAATATTTAAGAATTCTCAATAGGAGATTTATTCATGAAAAAGTTTGTCAATTGTCATTTTGATAAAACAATTTTTTCAACATTAGGGGGAGAAAAAAGTAACTGCAAAAGAAAACTTCTTAAAATAAATTATCATTATCTAGTTTTGATCTTCGCATAAATCAATATGAACTTGAATTTCAAAAGATAATTCTTTTTTGAAATATAGTAAATTAGTTACAAGACATATTTACTAATCTAAAAGAATAACTAAATCTTATATACCAGCTGCAAGTGCTCCTATTAACATTAATGTCATTGTAAGACAAGGCATGCCAAAAGCGTTAAGACCAATCGGTTCCAAAGATAAAATCTTCAAAAAAAAAAAGCAGATATTTAATATGGTCAAAAAGAGGAAGTAGGAATTCTAGAAGAGACCCTTGACATAATTGAGAAAAATTCTAAAAGAAATTTAAGTACATGAAATCATTGAAAATGAAGAGATCTCAATCAATTATGTCATGATAGAAAAATATGAAATTGGTAAATAAATGTCGATGATATTTTGTATATAATATTAAACTCAATATTATGAAAGAAAAATGAGAGTCTTGAACTTATATTTATTGAAGAATGTAGACATATAAATGATTGATCAATGTGGAAAGATGCAAACAAAGTGAAATTGAATTTAATTGCAAAAAGTTGAGTTTTTGGACCTATAATATGTATATCAAATGATGTAAAATTAATGAGATATAAATAGGTATTTGTGTAAATATGAAATAAGAAAAATAAGATTACGAGATATAAAGCAGGGTTTGTTGTACAAAATTTTCTCTAAAGATCTAGTATTGAAGATGAAGAGATATTCTTTATGGTGGATACAATTACAATTCTATGCTAAATAGTCTGACAATAAATGAAAAAATTAAAATATGTCTAATAAATGTAGCTACAACGTATTTATGAGGCTCATTTGATATCGATATCCATATGAAAAACCTTGAAGGATTTAAATAGCCTGAAGCACAAAAATTTGAATTTTCGAGAAGTTTACATGATTAAATTAAATAAATTTTATATGGATTAAAGCAATTTGGACACTTGTGGTATAATCATCTTAGTGCATATTTGTTGAAAGAAGGGTATAGAAATAATCCTATGTGTCTATGTATTTTATAAAAGGGTTTAGATATGAATTTATTATAATTACTATTTATATTGATGACTTGAATATTATTGAAACTCTTGAATAGTTATTAAAAGTGGTGGATTACTTAGAGAGAGAATTTGAGATGACATACCTTGAACAAAAATAAAGTTTTGTTTGGGTCTTGAGATTGAACACTTGACAAATGAAATTTTTGTCCATTAATCAAATTATATCGCAAAAATGCTAAAATAATTTTATATGAGAAAAGCATATCCATTGAGTTTACCAATAGTTGTAAGGTTACTAAATGTGAAAAAAAGATTTTTTTTGACCTGGTGAGGATAATGAATAATTTCTTGATCTTGAAGCATCGTATCTTAATGCAATTAGAGTACTAACGTATCTTACTAACAATACATGACTTGATATATAAATTGCTATGAATTTATTAGCAAGATATAGTCCTTCTCCAACTCGAAGACATTAGAATGGAATTAAACATATACTTTGATATCTTCGAGGAACAATGGATATAGATTTATATTATTCAAATGCATCAAAATAAAATTTAATCAGTTATATAGATGCAGGATATTTATCTGATCCACACAAAGCTCGATCCCAAGTAGATTACTTGTTCACATATAGAGGTACAGCTATTTCATGACGTTGTATAAAATAGACTATAGTTGTTACTTCTAATCATGTAGAAATTTTAGCAACTCATGAGTAAATCGTGAATGTGTCTGGTTAAAATTTGTAACTCAATATATTTGAGAAACGTGTGGTTTGTCAATCAAGAAGGAGATTCCAACAATGTTATATAAAGATAATATTACTTGCATAGTACAGCTAAAGGAAGGATATATTAAAGGCGATTGAACAAAACACATAGTTCGTCAAAATTCTTCTTCACTCATGATCTCCAAGAAAAGGATAAAATACGTGTTTAACAAATTCAGCAAAGTGACAATCTAACAGATTTATTCACTAAAGCCTTTCTTACTGTAATATTTGAAAAGTCCGAATACATTATTTTAAAGATCTCTATAATGCACTCATTAGGAGAATAAAATACGTACTGTACTCTTTTCCTTCATGAAGGTTTTTCTTACTGAGTTTTTCTTGATTAGGTTTTTAATGAGACCGTATTTTTGAAAAGATTATGTACTTTTTTTTCTTCACTAGGATTTTTTTCCCATAATGTTTTTTCTTAATAAAGTTTTAACGAAGTATATTTTTAATACAATAAATATTTAAGGGAGAGTGTTATGAATATTTTTGTGAATACTATTTATGTTATCTATATCTAGATTTGGTGTAAATTAGATTGGATTAAGATTTAATCTATTTAATCTGTAATTATTATTTTAATTTTGTAAATTGAATCTAGATAAGGAGTTATTAACTTATAAATAAGTTATTTTGCTTCATTTATAAATATATACTTGAATAAAATCTTATTACTCATTTTAAATACTTTATTTTATATTTCTCTTATAATTGATCTTTTAAGATTTATTTAATAACATGTTTAAATTTTTTTAACTAGTTAATATTTTTTAAATATTATACAATTAAAAAAAAAGTTACCCGAGTTGTTACCCGAGTTCTTTTGAGCCATTCTGGTAATTTCGACTATCACTCCGCAGTCCCCAAGTTTGGGGGCAAAATCCACAGGCGGGAAACATAAAGCGACGTCCAAAATAGGGTATTTTCAAACTTGTTACCAGCAATTCCTCTTCTCTCTGACGCTGAGAAGTTGAAATTGGAGGAAATGGAGAGAATTCACGTGGCCGTTAGAACGAGGCCGCTATTTCCTGAGGATGCGAAGACAAGCCCTTGGAAAATCTCTGCCAACTCCATTTTCATCCCCAATCACTCCACTAAGTTCGAATTTGGTAGTTCCCCTCTCTAATTAATCAATTTCTGCATCTTTTTAAAGTTAATGTTTTCTTATTTTTTGACAATTTTTTTTGGATAATTTAGACCAGATATTTGGTGAGGATTGTAAGACCGGAGAGGTTTATGAAGCCCGTACCAAAGAGATAGTGGCGGCCGCAGTTCGTGGATTCAATGGTGCCATTTAATTTGTATTCAGCGGTTGTTTAATTTGAGTCAATATGTAGTTCATTTTAATAGTTTTGGTAGGTTTTTGAAGTTTGCATTTTCTTCCAAATGCTTCTAGGGACTGAATTTTCCCCTATTATATGCTAACAGGCTCTCTTTGAATATGTGTTCGATGTGAGAAAAGTAAATTTGAAAGAAAAATAAAAAGAAAGATGAAAGCACAAAAAATATAAAACTTTCTTCATGTGTTTTAACAAAATTTGGGTTTTGCATTTTTCTTCTATTATATATTTTTTTAAACAATTTTTGTCTCATCTTTCTCTGTTTTCAAACTCTAATAGAGAAAGTCTATTTTGATTTTCCTTGGAATTTGGTTTGAACACATGATTTGGCTATTTTGATAATGGAAGAATCCTTCACCTTTAGATTGAGATGGGGTTTTTGAGGTATTATACAGGCCAATTGATAGCTATTTTCACTTTCTGAGTGGGAATTGCTTCTGTTCTAATGAAATACTTTTGGAATCTTGCCATTAGACAAGTGCAGCTTGATTTTAACGCACAAGTATCTCTCTCATTTGCTGTGAGCTATTTATGATCTCCTAATTTGGCATTGGTGCATCATGAAGCAAAATTTTGTAGAGATTTTTGTACTTTTTTGGTGGTGTTGTTGCATATACTCTAAATTTGGAGTTTACTATTGTCTTATGTTCACCTATTACCAATCGGTTTTAGGTTGGATGCTCAACATGGTGTCACAGCCAAAGTAAATTGTTGCCCTGGTTGTTATTGTTGTTATTTGTTGCCTCGGTGGTGTTATCTACATCAGTTAAGTTTAGCATTTGCTATTTTCTTATATTTTTGTTGATTCCATGTTGCACGCTTAACAGCACTCATTCTAATTATTTGGAGCTTGTTAATGTGAGCCACTGGGGGTTAAATAGCTTTTTGTATATGATGTACATGGAGTCAATTACGTTAGAATTTTCAGTTAGTTAGATTTTTTTTTCTCTAAGAGCCTTTTCTCCAATTGTAGGACAAATAAAGAAATTTCTCATTCCTTGTCCTGTTATACATTGCATATTCATTTTGTTTGTTTCCAAGATGATATGTGCCTGTTATACCTTCTCAAGCTTAGTTAGTTTATTGCAGGTACGGTTTTTGCTTATGGACAAACTAACAGTGGAAAGACCCATACAATGCGAGGTTCGGCCGCTGAACCTGGGGTCATTCCTCTTGCTGTGCATGATTTATTTGGCATAATACAACAGGTAGGCATACCGACACTTCTAGCTTTCAAAATCTTGTGCTATTTATATATTTTCAAAAATTTTTAGATATTTGGATAATCTCTGGAAATAACATTGCAAATTAAAGAATATCGATGAATAACTACGTAAGACAATTGAAGTTAACTACAGAAGAAAGATAGTTAAGGGTTTGAGGCATTGGTTAGCCCCATTGTTCTGATTATTACAATTGTCAGTAATATTGTTTTAGTTAGAGATTAATGAGTTGGTTGAGCTATTCAAAGATGGATTTATTTTCATGGAAACCATAAAACAATGGGTTTTGAAGTGTACTTAGGGTAGAGGGTGCCTTGGTAACTATTTCATGAGGTAGAGTCTAGTGCAATGCATGCTTGAATGAGAAATATATGCCTTTAGCTTTGTAAATTTTTGGTAACATTGATGATCAATATGCCACATAAATGATAAAAAGTTGATTTTTCTTTCTGTTGGAACTCCTACACTTAGTGACATCAAAATTTCAAATGAGGTGTTGCATAGCAGAAAAGATTCTCTTAACAAAAATATTAGTTATTATATTTGTGGTTGGCAGATGCTGGTCTGATGCAACAAATGGAATATTCTGTGTATACAAATATATGTCACGTATTTTGTTCTTATTGATGGTTGCAAAGAAATGATTTGGGCCCAAATAGTGAAAAATCAAATTGCACAGAAAGTACGTTGAAATTTTGCATACAGTATTTAGCTAGAAATGGTTTAATCTGGTTTGCTTTGGGTGGTAGATAAATCTTCAAATGTTGTACCAAGTTGAAATTTTTTATGTATTATCTTGTTCATCAGTCTAAAGTTGTTGAAGCTCAATACATTGCCATGTGCAACTGATCTATAACGTATTCATCTCTTTGGGGGCTTGCCTAAAATGTTGGCAAGTTAGTCTTGTGTCCTAGCTAGCTGTTCTTTGCAACCAAGGGTCGGTAGTTGGTGGTTTGGTTAAGTAAAAGTTGCCATTACTATGATGATTAAAATGTAATTGTGTTTTTTTTTTTCTTGGGCAAATATAGTAAATTGTTTCTTATTCTAACGTTGGTTTAGCAGAGTATTTAGCTTGGTGCTTTGTATTGATTCATGTGGTTAAATCTTTTGGCTTGTGATAGGAATAAATTATTTGGGAAAGCTACCTATTAATCACAATTTCTTAAAGTTTGTTTTTTTTAACACTTTTCAAATCTTAATTTCTTATTATGCATTTAAATGTTGAAGGTTCGGTTCAAGGACACAAAAATAAGAAAAAAAAAATAATCGAGTAAAATGAAAAATATAAACTTCAAATTGAAGATTGACTAACTAGTATCTGACCTTTTAAGTTAAAAGAAATTTCCTTAAAATGTTTTTGCACTATGTCTGCATGCAAGTATTTCTATTTTCTTTTTTTAATTTCAGGATGTGGATCGAGAGTTTCTTCTTCGAATGTCGTATATGGAAATATATAATGAAGAAATAATTGATTTGTTAGCCCCTGAGCATCGAAAATTACAGATTCATGAAAGTATAGAGGTATTAAAACTGCAATAGTATTTTTTTCTACTTAATTTCCTATTTTCTTACTAGTAAATCATTTTCTCTTCATAAATGTAGAGGGGAATATATGTTGCTGGCTTACGCGAAGAGATTGTTGCCTCTCCTCAACAAGCACTCGACTTCATGGAGTTCGGAGAATGTAATTTCTTCATCTTTTTAATAGTTTATACTTCTGCACAAGTTTTTTTTTTTTAAATCTTCATTTAATTTTTATTTTTGATTGAATTGTCATTAGTTTTGAAATAAAATAAAAAAATGTCTAAAATTGTGATGATTGCCCTTAAAATCAAAAACAGGAGAAATGTGAAGTAGAAAAAAGAAGAGTTAGCTTACGTATATTAATATCTTTTTCAATTTTATTCTATTTATTTGAATTCACTCTTCGGTTTTTACTTTTTTTTAAGGTTAATTACAGATTTGATATCTGAATTATATTGAAATTGTCAATTTGTTACCTGAAGAGAAAAAAAATCGCAATTAAGTACTTGAATTATGATTTTGTCTATCAGTTTGCACTTTTGACTAACTCCATTAGTCAAATCAGTGACATGTTAAGAAACACCCAATTAGATCATGCCACATGTCTAAAAATTTCATGTCAGTTGTTCTTTTTCATTTTTGAAATTTTTTTCCAAATGTTTTAATTTTGTATTAAAAATTTAAAAAGAAAAACAAAAAAAACTCAAAAAAATTCAAAAAAAAAAAAATGGATGGCAGGGATATGGGGTGAGAGGGAAAGAGAGAAACAAAGAGAGAGAGAGAGAGAGAGAGAGAGAGAGAGAGAGAGAGAGGAAGGGGGGGGGGGGGGGGGGGGCAACAGGAAAAAGGGGTTCAGCTAGCAATGTAGTGTCTGCCCTAGGCAGACTGGCACCCCAATCTGCCATGGGCCAGGCAGATAGAGTCAATCTGGCCAGAGCAAGCCAGATTGGCATGATCTGCCTAGCTTGAGGTTGATTAGTGCCGATTTGCTAAGGAGCCCTCTTTGCCTTTTCCTTCTGTGTCTCTCTTCCTTTCCCCGCTTTCCTTATCTTTCCTTTCTCTCCCCATTTTTCTCGTTTCCAATATTTTTCAGATTTTTTTCATTTTTCTGATTTTTTATTTTTGAATTCCAAAAATAAAATATTTTTAGACAAAATAAAAAAAAGAAAATAATGTTACTTTCTTAGACATGTGGCGCGACGTGACACATTTGACTAACTCTGTTAGTTAAAGGTGCAAATTGATGGATTGATGCATATTTCGAGTGCTTATTTGTAATTTTTTTTCTAGGTACCAAATTGACAATTTCATTCTAGTTTAGGTACCAAATGTGTAATTAACCTTATTTTTTATGATCCAAAATTTAGCTCACAGGCATATTGGAGAGACAAATATGAATCTGCACAGTAGTCGATCACATACCATTTTTCGCATGGTAAGTTATAAGTACTAAATCTTATTTTTAATATGAGTATATTTGCACATTTGGCTTACTATATTAGCTAAATAGATCATTGAGAGTCGCGATAGAACTGAAGATGGCGATGGAGATGCAGTTGATTCTTGTGATGCTGTTCGAGTATCTGTTTTGGTAGGTGATTAAATAGAACAACCATTTTTCTTCTTTTATGTTAAATAGATTAATAAAATGTTTTGGTAGTTGCCAATGAATATCTTGTTTAGTTTTATTTATGCTAATTATCATTTTTTGTCAATTCTTTTTTGTTCTTTTGCTCATAGAATTTAGTAGACCTTGCTGGATCAGAACGTGCCGCTAAAACTGGTGCAGAAGGTGTTCGGCTAAAGGAAGGTTCCCATATTAACAAAAGCTTGATGACATTGGGAACAGTGATTAAAAAATTGAGTGAAGGTGCCGAAAGTCAAGGGTATGTTCATTCGTTTGTTTGTTCATGTTTTTTTTTGGAGAAAAAGGTGAGGTGCTATTATTTTTCAAATGTTAATGAGTTAAGAACATTTTGCAGGGGTCATGTTCCATACCGAGATAGTAAACTTACACGCATATTGCAACCTGCTTTGGGAGGAAATGCAAATACAGCTATAATATGCAATATCACACTTGCACAGGTAGTAATCTTTAAAAACAGTTTAGTTGATTGCGTCTTCGCAAGTAAGCTTCAACACAGCTGCAATCATTCCTCTTTGTTTGTATTACGAAGACTAATATAGGCACTCCCTCTGTCTCTAGAATGTTTCACGTATTGACTTTTCATAGAGTTGAGGAATAAAAAAATGAAAAAAGAAAGGATAAAGTGGGCAGATTTTGAAGTTAAAGTGTCTGTTTAGTGGGTTCCATTTCTTTAAAGTGGTTTTGACAAAAGGGTAAAATGGAAAAAATTGGTTTTAAATCTATCGACTTTGTCAAGGAGATATTTGAATGTGACACTGTTAAAAAGGCAAAAGTAACAACATGAGAGTAGAGGGAACAATGTTTAAAGAATATAACTAAAATGAAATGATTAACCATTATTTGGGGTTTCGTTTGGTCTTTGACAAACATTTTAGTTCAAGCTAAAGGGGAGATTTATTTACTTGTGAAATTATGCAAGCCAATCTCAGAATCATATGTGCAATAAAATCACCTTTTATTTTATTTATTGTTAATTTTAATGGTTTCACAGTTTTTTGTAACTGACAATGTGGTTGTTAGTTTTGATTTACTGCAATTCCACCATTTAATCAATCTTTTATAATGGCAGATTCATGCAGATGAGACTAAAAGCAGTCTTCAGTTTGCAAGCAGGGCATTGCGTGTCACAAACTGTGCTCGTGTGAATGAGGTTTATTCTGATTTTTGTTGCGTTACCTATGTTGAGCTTTCATTTAGCGTTTATTCATCTAGCCGGCCTTGAAGATAATTCATAGTATGCAGTGGCATGTCAAATACACTGGATCTTTATATGTGTATTGTTAGCTCAAGTTCTTATTTCAAGGCAAACATGTATGCTAGTTTGCTTAAATCTTACTTAAGCTTGTTCTTTTGTGTTAGATTTTAACTGATGCTGCTCTGCTAAAACGTCAAAAGAAAGAGATAGAGGAGCTTCGAGCCAAATTGCAGGTTTGCAACTATCTTTGTGGTTTTTGTGAAATCTCAAAAGATGCTTTTTGGAAATAGTGACTCAGTAAATATTTTGTGTCTCTTAGGGTTCTCGTTCAGAACACTTGGAAAAAGAGATTCTCAATTTGCGAAATACATTATTGCAGGTATTATAGTTTTCACTTGATGATTTACTTACATTTTACAGAATGTTTGAGTATGTTATGGAAGTTGCAAGGCTCATTTTACAGTCTGAACTGGAGAGAGAGCGGATAGCTTTGGAATTGGAGGAAGAAAAGAAAGCACAAGTAGAGCGTGAAAGGGTGTTGCAAGAGCAAGCAAAGAAAATAAAAAATTTGAGCTCAATGGTCTTGTATTCAAGTAGAGATGAGAGTCGAGATCAGTTTAAAAAGGTTTATCTAAAATAACTCTACCTTCTTTATTCTGCATTTGCTTTTGTATTATTGTGTATACATTCTCTACTTTTGTTAGCTTATCTACTAATGTGATCACAAATTCTATGAATATAAATAATTTGTGCTGCCTATAGGAATCATACTATGGCCATTCCAACTAGATGAGTGGCTTGAGTTTTAATATGTAAAATGAGTAATGTAAAGGATTTGGACATACATAATAAAAACCTGGATTAAAGAATCATTAGTTAGTACTATATGATTTGCATGTTAGTCCATAAACAAGGAATTGAATAAGCAAATGATAGTTGTGCTGATGACAATGCCATGTTTAACAGGTTTAGTAAACTGGTTTGTAAATTTCAACAGGATTGGCTTGATTTGTGCATTGAGTGAAGTCAACTGCTAGTGGTTTCTCAGGACTTGAATTGGTTGATCATCAGCTTCTCTAACTGCAAGCTGATCTTTGTAAATTCCATTGTAATGTGCTTAGTTCAGTCAAGTGTCACTTTTAGAATTAATTTAGCAACCAAGTTTTGCTTTCTGTTCCGTTTTATCAGTTCACTTCTGTTAATGGTTCAGCAAGCAGATAAATATGTAGATCTGTGTTGATGCCACATTCAGATCTCTAGACTAAGCTTATATGCCATTATCCTTGATTCAATTTTTATAAATTGGGTGATTTGATCAAGAATCCTATATGTTGTTTAGTTGAAGAATAGGATAACACATTTATTATATGAATCAATTAGTATTTGTGCTTGTAAAATGAGAATTATTAGTGGGTTGTTTTGGTCAAATATTTGAGGGATGGGTGTTGATTTTGAGGTCTAAATTCATTGTTTGGGATTGATTCAGAGAATCTCGATTTGATTTTGGGTCAAATATACTCTGAATTTTTAAAAGGTCCAAACTGAAGACCTCATTTAACTGTTTGTTGAATTCAGCCAAGTAAAATTCTCTCCTCAAATCTAAGATTATTTTAAAGGCTTGAATTTTGAGTTCTAGATTTATCCGAACGAAGAATTTCACATTAAAAAATTATAAATTAAAAATTAACATCCAACTTTAAATTTAAATTCCCAAACACAACCTAGAGAGTTTTGGCATTATGTATTGGCTAGCTCATGGGTGTTCTACTCTGAGTACATAAAGCAAGGATAAAGTTTGCAACTGCTAAACATTTAACTCAAATCAAAGTCCCTTACCTTAGCACCGTTTGGTAGTTTGTTGGATGCATATTGGATACATGTAGTCTTCTCTTGTCTACATTACATACCTATCTTGGCCTTTCATTTTGATTATTGATTAAGTTTTTTGTTTGTTGCTGTAGGAGAAGAGGCGAGATACATGGTGCCCCGGGAATCTTGCACGGGAGGCTCTTCGAGAGGTAACTTTTATGTTTCTTGCTTCTGTTAGGATAATAAACTTAATTCAGGCATCATAATAGAATTTCAGTTTAATTTTTCCACCTTCCTTCTGGGTGTGAGCCGTAAATCAATGTGTGATTGTACCTTATATACATAATAAAATTAAGATGTTTTGTTTGAGCAAAGTGCAATGATGTAGGATTCCTTTAATAGGTAAAAGCATGAAATATTTTGTGATGACGTTAGCACATGGAGGAAATTGATGAATGCAAGACTTTCTTTCTTTTTCCTTGTTGTGATGTATCGCTGTTTGATAGTGTGTGGGAGCATCAGAATGTTGGATTTGAGAAACGTATGATGATGTAGAATTCCTTCGTTTGGATAGCATGAAATATTTTGTGATCATTGAAGCATGTCAATGAAATTGATGAACTTTGATGGTGATTTTCTTTCTTTCTTTATTACTAGTCTTCTTATCCTCATGCTCCTCTTAAAAATAATCATGGTTTGAAAGAACTAATAGGTTATAGGAAAATGCTTCATAGGATATTGTTGGACAATTTAAGATAAGACTTAGTATTCTTCATTCTAATTGATATAGGATGTTAAAAGTCCTGAATCTTTAAATAAATTATGTTTAACAGAACTTTGGAAGGGGGTTCAAACGGTGAGTTTTTCTTTTAGAGCTTTCACTTGCTTGCTTGCCCTCTTTGTTGATAGTATTAGACTATATTAACCATTGACCTCTTCAATTCTTGCTTATGGAGCATTTTGCATGTATTTCTAAATGTAAAGGTCTATAGCAATGGATACTATCCAAGTTTTTGAGATAACCTATTGGCATTGAAGGGAGGTGAAATGTTGATAGAGTTTTGTTGATGTAGCTTAGTTTGGTGGAATTGATTCCTATCATTCTGTGTTATACGAATTTCAGTTATCTATATAATTATTGAGTGACATATTGCTTTAGTTAAAATTCCACAATATTAATCTATATTTTTGTCAGAATCAGATGGCTTGAGTAAAGTCAAGTTTGGATCAATTGTTATTTTTTTAAGAATTATAGTAACAACAAATGACTATTTTAATGGTAAAGTGGGCTTCTTGGATGTGGAACTCCATGCAAGTTGGAGTGGGGAAGTTTTCATCCCCATATGCTGGGGTGGGGAAGAAGGGCTTTCTAAGTGTGGCCTTCTCAAGTAGTGACTTCCAGAGCCTGCCCTGTTCTGTTGCTGTTGCTACTTATGAAGTATAATTTATAATGTTATTCAATATCTTTTCAACCTCATGTTTTATGCAAATTCGTGAAAATTTTCTTCTTGTGCTTTAATGCAACTTTTGCTTTGGATGTATGCTAACATTAATTTTCTGTGCTGTAGGCCTACTCAAGTGTCCAATCAAACTCATCTGCCATAAAACCAACTAAATCTCTGCGTAATATGGGACCACTTCTTTCATTCGAGGAGTTGGTGGATGAAACTGAAATTTCAGATGACCTAAGCAAGCAAGATGAGGATTGTAAGGCTAGTGTTTTGGAGGACTGTACTCTTCCTGATCCATGTGCTTTACTGCATGTAACAAACAGGAGAAAAGTGCTACCAAGGAAGAAAAGCTCCTTTGTGGTTTGTACTATGCCCTTCTGTGTAAATGTCCTTGTATCAATCTTGCTTCCTGATATGTATTATTCATTCAGGAGGACAGTGAACTACTGGAACTGCAAACAGAATATGAGGATTTGCTTTTAAACTTTGAAACTCAGGTCACTCATTTTACTTGTTTCTTGTTATTTTTCTATGCCTTAGCACACAAATTTTCTCCATCTATTTATTTACGCCATTTTATAAGCAGAGGACTATGAGTGAGATACAAATTGATTGCTTAATGAGAAAGCTGGCTGAGGCTGATTCCCTTCATAATATGAAACATATCGAGTCCAATGACCATTCTGCGTTTCATGCCAACAAAACCAATTGTGCTGACAAGAATATTGGTTTGAGGGAATTTGAAGCTATTCTTGTGATCAAGCAACTTCAAGAGAAGGTTTATCTTATTATTTTTAGTATTTCTCTCTCTCTCTCTCTCTCTCTCTCTCTCTTTTGTAAAGCGTCTTTCGTTGCACCTACCAAGAATATGTTGATTGATGGTTTATTTTTTCTGTTTATGTCTATATATATACCTATTAGATTAAAATACTGGAAACAGAAAAGTCTTCAAGCCAACAAAATCTCAACAGTCTTGTTGAACTTGCAACAGAGCAGAATATATGTGCAAGGGAGAAGTTTGATGAGGTAATAGTTATTTGACCAATTATTCATAGCCTTGCTATACTTCTTATCCTGTGGATAGCTAAAACGTATGGTCTGCTTCACTCATGTTTTGTAATCTGCTGGGCTTAACTGGGCTTAAGGAAAACTGAAACCTTTTCATGTACTAGACTACCAGTTGCAAATCGACAATAAAATTTCAAGTCTATTTAGGCCTCCCCTACTTTGCAAGGACCGCAACTCAGGAGTGAGAGGAAAAAGGAAATTCAATTGAAAATTGATTGGATACAACATCTTTTGCAGCGTGGCTTTGGGTTTTTTAGTGCAAATTTGTGACTGCTGTGATCTTGTCTTCAGATGCTAAAAGCAACATGAAGTGCTGGTATAAAGCGCTGTTGTTGAGTATGATTGTACAAGAGCAGCATTAGAACTTTACAATTTTAGTCATAGTTGTCATAACTTGAAAGATTACCTTTTCTTATGATGTGTTTCCCTTGGAAAGTATATGTGTAATTTGTGGATGGTTTTCAGTGTGGAGCTGATGTGTGCATTAAATAGTTCATCATTCTTATTACAATTTTAAGGATCAAATGTGAGGAATCGAACTTAAATGCCTTTGTTCTCCTAATGAAACTCCAATGATGACAGAAATCATCTTTCTCATTTTTTGAGGTGGAAGGGTAGAGGATCTTCACATATGTCAATTTGTAGGCTTCTAGCACATCTTTTGCTCATTAGTGGTTGTATCAAGGTTATTAAGCAGTAATTTTGCATCTATCATAGTTGATTGAGTGGATAGGTGGATGGATAAATTGGTCTGTGCATCAATTCTGTATGTGTATGCTAGTTTCACCATTATCATTTTTAGAAATTGCATAAAACTTAATCCTTTTGACCTTTTTGAGCTATGTTAAGGTTTTGTTTTCTTTAATTCAGTTTCAATATGGTTTTTAATTGGTGCAATCTGTTATAGCTTTGTCAAGAGCTTCTTAATGCAAGGGAGGAGGCAAGGGTGGCTCGCGAAAAACTTGCTCACAGTGAATCTGGAGGAAGAAAGGATGTAAGTTTTGCATGTGTGTTTATATAAGATTTAAACAGACATACGCGTGCTCATCCTTGTCTTCATTTTTGCATCGAATTTTCCTTTTCTCTCATTAACAGTCTGATATATATTTTCTTTATTATGTGTAAATATTCTCATGTCAGAAGTGCATGAAACTGATTTTGAGTTGTGATTTTGCAATCAAGCTCTTAAAGGAAGTAGAGGATCTAATTTCTGAAGCTCAAGAGTCAAAAGAAGTAGTTCAAAGTCTATCATCCCTTGTGGATGATGCTTTTCAGAGTTTTTCTGCAATAATTCAGGAATTTCTTGTGAGTAATCGTGAAACATCTTGTGAGAACTACCCTTAATATCAACTGTTAAATTTTTTGAATAATAATTCTAAATTTGAAAGAAAACTGCTGAAGTCAATATTATTATTAATTGCGTTTGCGTCCTATCTCCATCTAAGTTGTTTAGTTTTATGCATTGTATACAGGATTTCAATGGTATTATGTGTGAGAATTCTGTACAACAAAAAATAATTATTGCAAACACTGAGAAATTACACAGTTGCATGCGACAAAGGACTTCAGAACTGGAGAATGATAAGGTGAGGCATTTGGATTTTACATGTGCATAGTGTGTATTTTCTTAATCCTGTTTCTGTTATATGAAATTATGATTGCTATTAGGATTCCAAGATGAAATATGTGAACTAATACCTGGCTTGTAGCTTCTTTTGCACAATCAATCTGTGGATCTGCAGAAGCAGGTACAGGAACTAATGGAAGATGCTCAAAACCATGAAGCATCCTTGATGGTAAGATTTTTGTCTCTCGTTTAACTTACTACAGTATGCATATCATGTATGGGTGAAGATGCCATTCTCTAACATTCGTTAATATTGTTTCAGGCACTCTCTGAAGAACATGACTGGGAAAAATCACAGTATCTTTCGCAAATTCAAAGTCTTGAAAAGGAGATATCATATCTTTCGTCATGTTCCTTGGCAAGAGAAAAGGAGAGTTTAAGAAAAGATTTTGAAAAAACAAAATTGAAGTTGCAAGACACTGAATGCAAGCTGAAGAATACTATTCAGGAGAAAACAAAACTTGAGGTTCAGTGCACATGTTTTGAAGTTTAAAGTTTGGCTTAACTATGTTATCAATCTATTTTGATCTGCTTCACATTTCTAGGGGGAGAAAGCATTTGCTGAACGTGAGATTAAGCGATTGCATGGTCAGAAGACTCTTCTTGAGCGTGACATCAGCAAACGTGATTCACTAGCTGGTAGAAGGCGTGATTCAGTTTTTGATAGGAATTCAAAGATGTTTGATCCCAAGAAAGCAAAAGCTCTTGAGCAGACAATGCAGGTGATGATGATGGGACTTGGCATGTGTTTCATAGTTCTGTAATGAACATCTAAAATGCAAAAAGAGTTAATTTGATGTGGTAATTTCAAATAGAAATTAAACATTCAACAGTTTTTTCTCTAAGTTCTTGCAATTATGAACTTGTTTTTGGGTGAGTCCATTTTGCCCAATCTCATTGAAATCTTACAGGTATTTTTTTTATAAGCCCTTTTGTACTTCTATGTAATCTATTAATACATCAACAACTTATGGACTGAAAATTGAAACCGAATCGAATACAAGAAAGAATTGATCCATGCCAAGCTGAACGAAACTCTATGGTTTGAAGCAGTTTCAGTTTTATTTGTTTTTTTGCTCAGCCCTAGTTGTCATTATGATGAATTTTCTCTCACCAAAGTTCTTGATAAATTTTCTCTGACCTAGGACAAAGGAATACCTTTCTGTAGCTTAAGAAAAATTGCAGTTTGTTGTTTATTTACTAGTTCAATACTAAAACATTCAAAGCATGCAGAATATTTAGAATCTGAATACTCTCTTCAATTTTTATGCTCTTAGGAAGATTATAAGAAGCTGGAGATTCTTGCTTTTGAAATGGAGACAACTATAGCTTCTCTGGAAGAGGAATTAGCATCTGCACACAGGGACAAGGTAGAGGCTATATCCAGAAATGAAGATTTGGCCTTAGCATTTGAAGCCCTGACCAAAAAATTCAATATCACAAGCTCAGAAATGAATGCTCTACAGGAAGAACTCTCTGGCCTTGTGAGCTTCCTGTTATTCTCTTGTTACATCCTTTTGGTTACTCAATATGGTTATCCTTCTTTAAGGTTAAAGTGGTAGCATGCATATTTTGTTTAAATCTTAAATATGGCATTCTCTCACTGTACAGAGACTTAGTTTGGAACAATCTAATTCTAATCAGCAAGAAATGGAAAGCTCCATTAAGAGGCTGCTTGCGGAAAAGGAGGAGTTGGCAATGGTAGTCTAATCCATTGTTGAATTGTGAAGAAAGCTTAACTTTTTTTACCTTAATTGTGTATTTGTTATTGTAATCTTGTTCATTTGATTGTGCCTTTTATCTTGCAGCAACTTACTAGTTCACTATTGGAAATGGAGGAAGAAAGGGCAATACAGTCTGCTAGGGAAAAGGCTTCAATTACAGCCATAGAAGAAAACACAAAGTTGTACAATTCTGAGATAACGTCTTTATCAGAAACATTATCTGAGGTAAGAGTTGAAGTTTCTCATAGAGAATTGTAGACCTTTGTCTGCATTATTGAAAAAGGTCTTATTTTTTTCTTTCACAAGTTCTTGTCCGTTTGCCATATTTTTTTGGAAAAATGTGTGGCGTTTTTATAGATTATGTGATTTTTCACTATGCTATTCCTTGGATGGCAGTTAACTGCTTGCTTGTGGAATTTTTTGAATTTTCTTATGCCATATCTTTTTGGAGTTCATTTTGCATCCTTAATAACTGGAATTATAACAATACTGGTTACTTTGTGCGAAATAAGTTAGATGGACAGAAAGGTCCCTGTCTCTTTTGTTTACTATCATATTGATCAAATATTCTAGTTCTGCAAATCCGTTTTCAATTTATAATAATGTTTAATTCTTAGTTATTTTGCTGTTGAAGATGTATCTCAGTGGAAACTGAAGTTCTTCAGCTTTTAGATCTTCATGACTAGCATATACTAACTCCACTAGTTTAATTACTTATCTTCGTATGTTAGTTTGTTCTGGTACTCTACCTGTTCTGTGTAGTATTTTACTGTCAATGGATTTTTGATTGCAACTTTAGGATTTCTTATGATTGCATTCATGGTATTGTGTGTAGTTTTGTGGGGGAGAGTGATGGTTTGTGGAGTGACGTTGATTGATACTTCTTCATGGAAGAAGTGTCTTGTGTATAGGTGGCAATTGGGCAGGACTCAGTTGGGTCATTTCAGGTTCTAATTGATTGGGTATAAGTTATCTTCTCCAGCTTTCTTTTGCTAGAGATGAAAAATGGTTCAGGTTCTAAGTGCTTGCTTGTCGGTTTAGGTCGTGTAGGGTTTGGGCTACCAGATCAGGTTGTTATGGTCAGCTTTTGCCATCTCTACTTGTGTGTTTTATGTCTCATTTTGTCCATAATATATTACATTAGTTTTCAGCAGAACATATTTCTGCATGGAAGTTTTCTCTATTTTTTTTCTATCAAGCCACATGTAATTCAAGGAAAAAAAAAACATGGAGTACTAATAAGAACAATCCCTTTGGTGGGGGCTGGGGTTCAGTCTTATATGCATCAGCTTTGGTGGGGGCTGGGGTTCAGTCTTATATGCATCAACTTCTTCCACTCTCCACTTAAAATTAGTGTTGGTTTGGGATCTTAATAATCCCAGACATCTGTGAGAACTGAAATCTGGAAGGAGCACTGGTGCTTATAAATTCCCTTTGTCACAAAATAAGTCTAAAAAATCAATGCATTTTTTGATTTTATGCCATAGGAGAACCTTTTTGGTGTGAAAACTTTCAAATTCTATGCTATATATTAATCTGGTAAAAAGTCAGTGAAAGAGCTTTCAGCTTGAGTCGCATTCTTACTAGTCTGACCCTTTGGCATACATTTGAGAAGTTAAAATGGTCCTATCCAATCAAGCTAATCTAATTTCATTCTAATTCGAAGAATATGTGTAGCATGCCAAACTAGGTTATGCAGTCATATATAGCCAAAATCTATAAGAGATATCTCTGAATTCTTTGACTACATCTGTGAGACAGATTTCAAACTGTTAAAGCATAATGTTTTCTTTTCATTTGGTTTAAGTTTTCCACTAATTCATAGTTGCTTTCTAGTGAACAATCTTTTAATTTTTACTGCCTTTTTTTTTTATGGCAATTCATGGCTCTTTAAAATCGATGAACAGTTTGATATTTAACTTGTTTTAACTAAAAGCAGTTTGGTTGCCGTACTCTGCTTTTCTAGCAAAATAAAAATCGAAATTTGACTATCTCAAACTTAATTTGGGCGTTAACAACTTTTAATTTTAAAGCATCACATCAATGCAACTATATTGAGATTTTAGGTGGTTGATGCATGTGCAGTATGACGGAAGAATTTTGAAATTTCAAGTGAATGTCTTTGAACAATTTTATAGGTGGTAAGGGAGGTGGGATTTGTGTAGAGATACTAGTTTCAACTTTGGTCCAAAGTCTTAATTTGATTCTTTTACTATCTGAATTCAGCAGTTTTAGCCCCTTTTTAATGAATTTAATCTCTATACTTTCAATGAAATTCGATTTAAGGAAAATTGGTAATGGTGTTACAATTCTATCACTAACTTCAGCAACATGGCCTTTTTATTGATGATGTGCTATGGAAACTTTGAATTTTTGGCCACAAGGCACTCATTAGCACAAAGAAACTTTAGTTTTAACATAAAATACTAAAAATTGTTCGTTGTAGAATCTTAAAAAATATTAACTATTATTTAATTAATAAAGTATGATTACCAAAAAATTAAAAAGAAAATGTCTGTAAAAAAAATTGGCCAAAAAAATTGTAAAAAAATTAAACAAAACAACGAAAGGAAAAAAAAAAGTCAAGGCGAGAGAAAGAACAAGTGTGGGAGAGAGATCAGGGATGCGGAAGGGGAGAGGGAGGTGCCTGGCACCAATCTGCCCTCCTCTGGTGAGATTGGCGCCACTACAATTCCCTCTCCCCTATCTACCTTTTCCTTTCCCCTCTGTTCCTCCCTTTCTGTCTCTGTCTGTCTGTCTCTCTCTCTCTCTCTCTCACACACACACACACGCACCCACACACACACATAGATACTAGTTTTTCCCCTTCTATTAATTTTTTTTTGTTTTGTTTAATTTATTTAAAAATTGTTTTGTTTCTAATTTCTAATATTTTTTATATTAAAAAAAAATTTTAGATTGATATGTGCTATGTGGAAAAAAATTTTCACATAATCATGCCATGTTATCACCAAAATGCCACATCATTCAAGTAAATGGTAAAATACCATTATGAATTGTTCTTTAATCGGCTTTAAATGGAAGGGTAAGGATTAAAAATTGGGGTAAAGGGACTAACTCATCAAATGGGATAGTAGAGGGACCAAATTTAGACTTCAACCTTCAGAGTTCAAGCCATAGGTAACAATTAAGGGTTCTCTTCTGAATTTTGAAAATTTCAGTTCTTTTAGAACTCATGTTATGCGTCTGTCTAATGTTGTGAGTTCCAGACAACCTGCTAGAATTTTGTTGTGTTAATTTCAGGTTGTGACATCTCTTATACAGGTTTTAATATATTTGTTGCTAGTTTTGTAGTCAAATTTGCTTGATAGTTTTTGTTTATGACTTGTGGAAAAATTCTCATTGTACAAGTGCAGACAATCTAAAAAAGAATAGGAAAACAAATTAGTATAAAGTACATCTAATCCAAATTGTACTGGTAACTTATTCTATAGGTAAGTATCACATTGTTTCTTTTGTATTAATATCTCATTTTCTAGCCAAAACGCCTATTTTTGAAAGGTATTTATGTGCCCTTTTGCCCAAATAGCTGCCTTAACTTTTTATTTTGTGTGGATGTTCTTTGCAACAAAATCTTAGTTTAGAATGTTGAACTCCAGAATGCTATCTTGTTTAACTGAGGATTCTGTTATATGTTAGGTGATGAAGGAGTTGGAGTCGTGCAAAAAAGAATGCGATGTCCTAAGGGAAAAATTGACATACTTTGATGAAAATGCAACATTGGAGAAAAAGTGGAGGTTTGTCTCCCGGATTTCTTTGCCATATGTTTTTGATTGCAACTTGGTTGCGTTACCTGTTGTAGCTGCAAAAAGATGAAAACTTTGTTTTAGTGCTAATCAAACAAGTCCCGGGTTAATGACAAGGGCAGGAGCACAGATACAGTAGGCAAAATCTGATAAAATTCCTGTTAAGTCTCTCACACTGCTAGCACAGCCTTTGTTTTTAAGGGAGACATAATCCTGAATGCCACCAAATTGCATTATTTCTCTTTGTTTAATCCATTTGTAGGTGTGAATAAGAAAAATAAATAAATCTGTCTACTGGGTAGACTGTTCTCTATGTTGCATTTGGACTCTTGAATTTGAAAGGATAACTTGAATCTCATTTTGAATTTAAATTGTTTGGTTGAATCTAAAGTTAAGTTTGTGAATTACTGATTAATCTTTATTACATTTGTATTTGAATGTACACATATATGGGTGATATTTCGAATTCATCACACCATTCTAGCTAAAGTTCATTGAACCTTAGCTAATTTTCATATCTTTGTATTTATTATCACGACCTGCATGACAAAATAAATCTGGAGTCACTGCCAGATCTTCCTAAACCACTAAGGTTTCCTGATTCTTAGTACTCCACCATCTTAACATCCCCTCCCCCTACCCTAAATATAAATAAATGAATAAATTGAAAAAGGAAACCATTGAAAGCAGTCCACCTCACCCTTTGTATGATCACTAGGTTTATAGGTCCCTTATTGCAAGTTATGGACTTTATTTTTCTTTAATCAAACTAAATGAGAAGAAAGTGTTGAAGTAGTCACTTAACCTCGCCTATATTTGGTAAGAAAATACATTGCCAAAAAGGAAGCAGCCTGTACGTGGTGTTTTTCTATGCTCTCAGAATTAAGAAGATTTGTACATCCATCTGCTCGTTAGATGTCCATCAGTTTCTACCAACTCTTCAAATAAAGTTCAAGACATCTTTCGGAATGTGAAAGGAATTGTTATTCCACTTTCATTCCTATGAAATAATTTCCCTTCCACCCTTCTTCCTAAATTCCAACAAAGAAAAGCCAATGCAAAGTGATTACTATGATCATTGGTTGCTATTTATGCAGTAGCAATTCATTTTCATCTGGTAGTCTCAGTGTCAAAGAGAATATTGGTCTTTACCAAATATAAAATATCATATTCAGTAAGTATTCATAATGATTTTTTTTTTACCCTCCTTCCCCCTACTTGAATGATGCAGTAAGCTGGCAACTAACTCAATTCTACAGATAAGTTTCATAGTCCAAACTATTGAACAGACTTGGTCAATATTGCTGATAACCTTAGTACTCTTGTGTGATTATTGAGATGCAGTAGATATCCCATCCGACATATGTGTTTTAATTAATCGAGACTTGAGAGAATCTCATTTACATTAAATCTGTTTCATAGACAGCATATGTGTCAATTAATTGCTACCTCTGTTACTCAGACTCTTCATTTTCTTGACGTACCTGCATCCAGCACATGTCCGACAGACATGGGTATGGAGTTCTGACTCTCCAAACGTATGGAAATGGATAGAAAAAATTGAATGTACCTGTGTCGGACTCATAAAGGTATTTGACACTCAGCCCTGAGTCAGTGTAACATAGATTGCTACTAAATCATTTTTATAGGTTCACAAAACAGATGCTTTCTAGTGAGAAGGGGTTTAGGCTTATGTGATGTTTGGTGTTTAGGTGACAAATGTATCAATGGTCCCTGTTCTTACTATTAGCTCAGGTCCAGTAAAAACTAAAGAGCCTTTTTTTCATTTCCATTTTCCTTTTGGGTATAAAACAAAAGACTAAAGAGCTTTTCAATGTCCATTTTAGCTTTTCTGCCTTTATTGTTTCAATCAACTTCTATTAGCAGTATGTTAAAGATTATGACAGCATCCAGCTTTTGAAGTTAGGAAGCTGCAAATAAGTTGACGAATTTTGAGTAAGGAATGAGAACAATTGCTTCATCCTTAGTCTAAAAACAAAAGGAGGTATATTTCCTGTAAGATTTTTGTACAGATGTGGTTATTTGTTTAATCTTTGCAGCAATAGTAGCTGACAAACTTAAATGTTGTGCTAGAAATATATTATAGTTAGTTGTGTGGATATGAATTTTTGCGTGGGAAGTTAATGCTCTATTTCTTGGACATGGCCCTTCTATATGTAAACTTCTTTGAATACATTGTTCAGTTCTATCAATTCTTTTGGTTTAATATATAATATGACATCTATTTCTTTCCCCTTAACTTAAAGAATTTGACCTGAGGACATGTCCTGGAACAGTTAGGTAATAGAAGAATAATGATTTATGGTAGAGTTCTTGGAGGTATATTTCCTGTAAGATTCTTGTATAGATGTGGTTATGAGCTTTATTGTGCAGAAATAGTAGCTGACAAATTTGTGCTAGAAATAAATTATAGCTAGTTGTGTGGATATGAATTTTTGCTTGGGAAGTTAATGCTATATTTGTTGGATATGGCCCTTCTATATGTGAACTTCTTTGAATACATTGCTCAGTTCTGTTAACTCTTTAGGTTTAATATATAATATGGCATCTATTTCTTTCCCCCATAACTTAAAGAATTTAACATGAGAACATGTCCTGGAACAGTTAGGTAATAGAAGAATAATGATTTATGGTAAGAGTTCTTGTGCCACCTCATTTTCCTTTATAATTTTCAATTTTCATTGAGTTGCTTAATAGGCTTTCCATTCTTGCTCTAAATAAAAGTCTTGATTTTACTTAAAAATGTTAAATACTCCTGTCTGCGGTCCAAATAATGGCATTAAGGTTATAAGAAGTATTACATTTTCCTTTCTGCTATATTTACAAGTATCTAGCTGTTCAAACTTTGAGATTATGGTTATAAAGTTCATTAAAAAGCCACATTTTACCATTGCAGCATGCAGAAGTCTTTACAGATTGACCAGCTGAAAAATGACGTTGAAACTGCTGATGCTAAAAGCAAGCAAAGCGAGCAAGTATTTTCTTTATCTTATCCTGTGCGAATCTTATAACTAAAACACAACACACAATATTAGCATGGCATTCACAGTAAATAATTGTCTTCATTGCAGATATCGAAGTCAAATTTTGAGATTCTTTCTTCGGAGCTTCAACATGCTCAAGAGGAGCTGAGTATTATCAAAAGAGAACGAGAGGATTTATCAGCTAAAATTGGACAGTTGGTTGCTAAATCTGACTTCTCAGATGAACTCCAGGTTTCATCTGTGTGCAGCACTGCAAAATAATCTAGTATTTATTATTTAGAGACTGAAACTTTTAGTATATTCTTGGCAGAAACTTAAAAACCAACTTCTTGATATGTCAAGAGAAAGGGATAAACTAGTGACACAAGTTGAAGAGCAGCAAAGCAGTCTGGTTGAAGTGGAAATGCTTAAACAAGACTCTAATGATGTGGTTGGTGGATTCAGGAAAAAAAAACCATTTTTCTCATTAGTATCTTATTAGGTTGGGAATTATCTGATACCATGTGAGATTTTATTGGCAGTTAATGGAGGCCAAATTTGAAGTTGAGGAACTGACTAGCAGATTGTCCTGTATGGAAGCCAAGATGCACAATGTAAGTAATTGGACACTATCATTTATTGGACCTGATTTTTCATTCATTTGATAATTATAAGCAAATGAGTTTGTCTCAAAGTGTATATTCACTTGTTTCTAGAATGATCTCCATGCTGATCTTTAATCTTGTATACCAGCATTTGGTATGGAGGAACAGTCTTGTCACTGTTGAAATCCCAAGTCTGGGATGTGAGCTTTCTACTTAGAAAATGAATTTCTCAAAATAATTTGAGGAATTAAGTTTATAATTCAAATAGTTTAGACATGTGATCTTTTATCATTTCCACTGTTGCACAGAAGGGCTACATGTGTATTTATCAATTGCCTCCCAAATCCCAACATTTGAACCATTCTAATTCCTTAATTGTGCTGCGCAGTGTTGACTTCTGACATGTTATAGCTAGTTAAAGTATGTTGGTATATAGCCTCCACATTTACATGGAAAAGATGATCGCTTTTTATTCTGTACTTTTATTGAACTTGTTCTCTGTGATTTCCATCTTTCTGAATATGTTTACACTTTTATTTTAATACAGGATCAAGTCAACAACGGAAAGGAAATGGCAAAGCATAGAATGAGGCTTCGCGGAACTCAAGCACAATTGGACGCCCTTCGTTATAGATACAAACAAGCAGTGGAGGAGTCAGATATCATGAACAGGAAGTTTGAGGAAGCTTCAGCAAACTTGAAGGAACGGTTGGCTTCAAAGGGAATTGAGGTTCTCAACCTGAAGAAGCAGCTTGCTGCGGCCTCAGGCCAATAATCGACTCAACACTCCTTGTGTTGTTAATTGAGTAGTTCGGTTCCGAATGGTGTCCATGATAGAGATATTCATTCTGTACTTTCCAAAACTGTTGTAAATGGTTATTGTTAACAAGTTGTTATGCACACTGATTAAGATGTTATTTTGCAAATGTTTCCTCGTTTAATGCATTATCGTTGCCTCAATCACATGAAAAAACACTCAGATATTATCGTGTGATTTGCATAACGCACACATTAATTCTGTTGATAATAGTATTTAAAAATCTAATAAAATTATTATAAACCTAGAGAGTAAAAAGACGACCGCAATTGTTGAAACATGAAATTGACAAGACACGGATCTGTTTTCCCAACCTCTAATTCCTTGGAACACTATCTCAGTCTCCAGCTCCAATGAAAAACCGACCAAGCGAAACACTTCCTTCTCCTTGCTGGGTTTGAATACATAACCTCTATCTATTGCTGTAAGATGTTTGCATAATTCTCCCGAAAGCATATAAAAGCACAATTCAACAAAGATTTGCTGTGGGATCTTACAATCAACAAATATAAGTTTCTAATTCCTTGATGGAATCTAATTAGTGACTATTACTTGTATGGTTATATTGTCACGCCTAAAATAGTTTTTTGAATTTTGTTATTTCGTTTATTTGAACATTAGGCTGCATAGGTGTAATTCTTTTATTTTACCAAAACTTTTTTATTTTCTGATTTGCTGTCCAAATGATTCAGGTTTTTCTTGATCAAATACTATGTAAATTTTAGTTGTTCCCGGAATACAGGGAAAAATTTGGTTTAATTATTTTAGATGAATACTGAGGAGGTTTGGGTGAAGGGTTCTTGTATAACAGGAACCTGCTCAGTTCTCGAACATCATTCATATTAACCAAGGAATGAGTGATGCAATTCAAATTTCTTGGCTGTGCAAAAACAAATGTTTGTATATATCTCAAGTCAAGTTGTCACTTGTTTGTATCCTTAACCAAGGAATGATCAGTATTACTGGGGTCCATTTCAGGACCCTACGTTAATTAGAAAGAGTACATAAAAGGATGGTTATAGGAAATTAAAATATTTTAACCTCGTGTGCTAAAAGTGTTAAGATTGTATCAATTTCAAAGAACTCTCTCAAGCCAAGGCGGTAATCTAAGACTGCTTGCAAGGCTAAGATTAATGTGTCTGTAACTTTTGGTGGAAGGTTCGCTACTTTATGTACCAATTTGGTCCATAATCATGAACTTAGTCCTATGTCATGTATCTTTAAGAGTAGTTAGAAAAGAAAAGTAGAAGTAAATGACGAGGTTGGTAACTAAACCATTGACCAAAAAAGCTATTTCGCTAGTAGTTGAAGCGGGGCGACATGACAACTTGCCATTAACTAAGGATTGCAGATACTGTTTTGCTAAAGCAAGGAAGTATAAACTTGGGGTTGGTGATGTAGAGCCACTTCTTACTTATTTTCGAGGCATGCAAAAGTGGAATTCAAACTTCTTTTTATGTGACTGATATGGATGAAGAAAGTCAATTAAGAAATGTATTCTGGACTGATGCACGGCCTACTGCAGCTTGTGAATCTGTTGGTGATGTTATATCATTTGACACCATTTATCTAACAAACAAATGTCATATGCCAATTACTCTCTTTGTTGGTATGAATCAGCTTGGCCAACACATAGTATTTGGTAGGGAAGTGCATTGGTCGGTTTTGGTTTCGGGAGAATTCAAAACCGATGAAATCGATGGGAAATTTTAGTAGACCGAAGCCCATCGGTTACAAGGAAAAACCAATCAATGGAAGCAGATCTCGGTTTCGCTCAATTGAAAGTTTAAGTGAACATGAACATGAGTCCTGTTAATGAACATGAAAGTAGCCATGAAAATGAGTCACATGACAACCCTCAATAAGTAGACCTTGAAACAGAAGCCGACGGCAGCAAGGAAGAAGACAGATGCTGATAGGAGGAGGTCACAGAGAGCACCAAGCATAGGAAGAAAGAAAGAATGGGGGACAAATGAAGAATAAGGGAAGATCAGCAAGGGAAAAAAGAAGAGGGGTGGGGGATTAATGAAGCCTATTAATGGAATTCTCTCCCCCCTTGATTTTTCGGTCTATCTGGTTGAGGGGAGACTGCCCTGACGATCAAATCGCCGTGGCCCCAATACCGCCGGTCACAACCAACACTAGCAATTGCCATTGAACAACCGAGCCAGTGGTTGCTGTTATAGTCATTTTCGGTCAGCTACTCAATTGCAACCGATTGGTGCTCTATCCTACTATTTGGTTATGGTTTATTGACAAAGGAAGATACACATGCCTATATTTGGTTGTTTAGGTCGTGGCTGGAAGGCATGGGTGGTCGTTATCCAAATGCAATCATCTATCCCATCGGCAATTATAAAAGTATTTCCATCCTTTCATCATTGACTTTGCCTTTGGTACATGATGAGAAAGATTTCGATGAAACTTGGAAGACTACCTCAAAATAAAGAATTTAAAAAAGTTTTGAAGTCTGCGGTCTGTGAATCTATGGACACCAATGAATTTGCAAAGGTCAAAATGGTTAAAGATTACAATCCTGAAAAAGATGAATGGTTGAATTCCTTATTTGTAGATCAACACCTTTTAGTTCAGTTTATCTTAATTGTCTATTGCTCAAAGAGGTGAAAACAAAAAAACCTTTTTGGATGGTTATGTGAGCCTTTGATTTTCTTACATGCATTTTCCATTATTTCCTCTTAGATCATTGAGCTTGTTCACTGATTTGTTAGATTTTTCCTCAGTTCTTGTTCTTCATATTTTTCATATTCACAAATCTTTCTTTGTTATTCCATGGCTAGATCCGTGAGTTTGAGAATTCTTCTTCCTTCTTCTGAGGACCATTAATCTCCTTATTTCCTTCGGTATACAGATCTTCATTGTTCAGTGGTGATTAGTTCCAAACTTGTCTTTACCGACTATGTCTCTTGGAGTCACCAATTCATGTTAGCCCTCTCCATTCGAAATAAGGCGAGGTTGTGGATGGAACGATCCAGGAACCCAAACCCACTAATAAGATTTATGTTTCTTGGTTACGTTGCAACAACTTAATTGTTGCATGGTTGATCGAATCAATCTTTCCACCAATTGCTTCCACTATTTTATATATGAACTCAGCATGCCAGATCTGAGAAACTCTTAAAACGCGATTCTCTTAGCATGATGATGCTTGGATTTGTCACCTTCAATTCACTTTGTCAAACATAAATGAAGGTATCAAAGGTATTGGTGCTTACTTTACTGAACTAAATGCAACTTGGGAAGAACTGAGGATTTTTAGACCTCTACCACAATCACAACTAGGTTATAGTTTTGCAACAACTGGAACATTGTATATCTTTTAGGAACAATTATATATATATATATATATATGTATATGTATGTTGTCATTAACTACTTTGATTTATAATTATTTTACTCATAGAGAAATTTTCTTAACAAAGAAACAAGTTGGCATTCCGAAGACTTGTTCATTTATTGCATTACATGAATAAACAAAGATGATAATACCTACAGATAAAATTGATTTTACATTTTACATTACAGGGTACTTGCAGATATCTGACCCAGTTATATAGAGTTAGGGTACCTTATAATTGAGTTTGAGACGAGTTTGGGTAGTGATTTTACTATCTGAATCGAGTTCGAGTAGGGTTCGAGTATCACCTCTTGGGTACTCATTACCCAAACCCGATTATCATTTATAAATATTTTATTATTATTTTAATAAATAAATTAAAATACACAATTTTTACCACCTTTACAATCAATTCTTTTTGTTAAAAACTAACAAATATATGAAAAGTATGATTCCTCTAATTATTAATATGATGACATTAATATATTCAAATTAAAAAATTATTAGATTGTTAATCATGTTTACATAACATGAATATCATATCACATTATAAAGGAATATAATTACTATTATATATATATATGTATATATATACAAACTTTTAACATAAATATATTTACTTTCTATTTTGTGTTTTAACATTACAAAAATTATAACTTATAAAATTATTAATTATAATAGATATATCATTATTTATATAAACTTATAACATATATGCTTAAAGAGAGCTTTTGAGATTAGGATACTTTTGGAACCTAACTATTTTTTTTTTAATTTCATGAAATGAAGGACAAATCCTTATAGTTAATTAAATTAATTCATGAAACTATTATTATTAATTAACTTGTAATGCCTTTCAATGTGTATAGTCTATATATTGTGTTAATTTATAAGAAATATAATTACAATTATATATATTCTAAAATATTTTTAGTTTATATTTACTTTAAATATAAACATATTTACTTTTTCTTCTGTGTTAACATTACAAAATTATAACTTATAAAATTATTAACTATAATATATATAACTTTGCTTATATAAACTTATAATATATAAACCTAAAGAAAAGTTCTGAGATTAGAATAGTTATGAAACGTAGTTATTTTTTTTTAATTTCATTCAATTAAGAACAAACTCATACAGTTAATTAAATTAATTCATGAAACTATAATAATTAATTAACTTGTGATGTCTTTTAATATATATATATTTTATATGTATTAAGTTCATTTATAAGGAATATAATTACTATTATATATATATATATATATATATGAGTGTATGTGTGTGTGCGTATGTACTTTAAATATAAACATATTTACTTTTTATTTTGTTTTAACACTACAAAAATAATAACATATTAAATTCTTAATTACAATATATATACCTTTGTTTATATAAACTTAGAACACATAAATCTAAAGGGAAGTTGTGAGATTAGAATAGTTTAGAAACTTAGTTATTTTTTTTAGTTTCTTGTAATTAAGGATAAACTTATATAGTTAATTAAATTAGTTAATGAAACTATGATTATTAATTGACTTGTAATGTCTTTTAATATATATACTTTATATACATTGGGTTCATTTATAAAAAATATAATTACTATTATATATATTAAAATACTTTTAGTATATGTACACTTTAAATATAAATATATTTTCTTTTTATTGTGTTAATATTACAAAAGTTATAGCTAATAAATTTATTAATTATGTTTGAGATATTTGTTTTTGATTATTTAAATTTAAATTTTATTATTTGTGTCTTTTA